TATCATCTAGACAAGAGGTTAAAGTAGAGCATAAAGTGTCAGTTGCTGCATTCACATCCAAAGATGAGAAATGGGTTGGTGAGGGAAGAGAGGAGGATACTACAGAGGAAAGATGGGAGGGTGAAAGGGAGCGTAGGTTTCGTCTAAAAGTAACCGGTATAGGGGTTGGTGGCACACAGGTAGCAAAATGTAGTTTAAATGTAATGAAGAAATGGTCAGAGATATGTAGGGGTTCTACCAAAATGTTGTCTGCAATACAATTGCGTGTGTAAATTAAGTCAAGTTGGTTGCCTGATTTGTGCGTGCTTGAAGTGGTATGTCGTTTGAGATCAAATGAAGCAAGGAGTGAATGGAAGACTGTAGCATAAGGCTTGTCCAGATGAATGTTGAAGTCGCCTAAGACTAAAAGTGGACTGCCATCCTCCGGGAATGAGGAGAGCAGCCCATCCAGCTCCTAAGCACCTTCCTAGAGAATTATGTGGTAAATTACCAAAACCTGGAGTTTTATAGGAGCTGTTACAGTAATCTCATGAGATTCAAATGAGTTGTAATTGCATAGGGAGAGTGGGTTGAGTATTTTCAATTGTTAGAAATGAGCAGACCAGTGCCCCCACCCCAGCCAACATGACGGGGGTGTGAGAGAAAGAGAAATTGTTAGATAGAGCAGCTGGGGTTGCTGAGTCTTTTGGACGAATCCAGGTCTCAGTCAAGCCCAAGATTCTGAGTGTGGTTTGTAAAGAAAAAGCAGAAATTAAGTCAGCTTTGTTGACAGCTGACTAACAATTCCAGAGACCCACAGAGAAAGAAAGAGGTGCAGTAGAAGATGTAGAGATGGGATGCAGGTTAGCAAGATTACGTTGCCATCTGCGTGTGATGTTAGAGCGTTGTCGAGAGACAACTGGAATGTTTTGGAAACACATGATAGAGGTGGAAAAGAGAGGACAGAAAAGAAGAGTGTGTAAAGGGAAGTCAAAAATTATACTTAAGTGCGTTGCCGGTTTCGTTGCTCGGTAAAGTCGCAGGTCTTTACACTCATCAGTCTTCACCCGAGGAGGCTGAACACGAGGGCTGAACGCTTCCGCTGACGCCTCCGAGTCAGTACACAGACATCAAAGAAATACACAGTCTAAGAGACTACAGTGAAAACAGCTGTGGCCGCCTTCTAATTAGCACAGCCAATAGCGTATCACAGGACAATTGCTCAAATCGAAACTACAGTACCAATTATTATAATTACCAGTAAGTGCAATCAAAAATACAAACTACAACAAAAATACAAAGTAGAAATAGGTAGACAACGAAATATTCCTTCCTAGCAGCAAGTAATAATTTAAACAACATATCTCCAAACAAAGTATTAAGCAAAACACTCACGCACTGCCGTCCGTCTCTTCTGTTGACTAATCGCTTTACTAGATTAAATCAGACTTTACTAGATTTTAGTAGACTTTACTAGATTGGTCTAGTAAAGTCTGTTGATTTGAGCAATCTTTGTTCATTATATGGTGGTGGTGACCATTCATAAAGCACCTTTTGAATTTTTTTTCTCCAATGTTTGCATGCCTGTACCTCAAGTAGTATTTAAGATGTCTTAATGACCTATTAGATTTTTTCCTTTTGGCATCTTCATTTTTAAGGCCTGTTTGGTTCAGTTTCAGAGATATTGCAATCTCAATATGGCTCCAAGAAAAGTAAATTGTTCAATTGTACACACGTTCAGGGGTCAAAAAACAAATGTTGGTCACTTTGCATGTGGATGATACTTCATTTCATTTAAAGAAGAATGTCTGACTGAAAATCAAAAACCGTTTGAAACTAGAAATAACGTTGAAACTCAAGAGAACTTCTTGAGTTATATGCATGCAAACTTCAGAGAAAAAACTTTTAACAAAATCTAAAATTTGAGACGGAATGACTCGTATGAAAAAACAGCTTAATCATTTTGCTCATAAGATTTCTAAGAGAGGACATTTATATCATATTATATCTAATATCTGGACTGATGCATGCTCCATTAACACTATAAATACAGCAGCCACAACGCACATTGTGAAATAGGCAGCCTGGCATGAGTGTTGTCTGTTACATTAGTCACAGCTATGTGATTATTTCTCTTTGTGACATGGTTTCTTGGCTGAAGTAGCATAAGGCTGGTCCTCTGGGAGATTAGTCAGTGGCTAAAACTGTAGAAAAGAGCACTGATGTTTATCCTGCTGGCTATTTCATGTACTGCATTTTATTTAGTCTCACTCACTATGCAAATGGCTTATTTGGATTCATAACAGACATCTGCAGAGTTTATTCTGAGCTTTGCATCACAGTCACACTTGCTGTTCGGTCATGTGTTTTGTCCCACACACATTCACTGGCTCACAGATCATTCAGCCTGTGTTTGTCCCAGTGCCTGATTTTGTGTGTGTGTGTGTGTGTGTGTGTGTGTGTGTGTTGTTTGCTCAGAACGGCAGAACCCCTCTGCATTTGGCTGCCTATAAGAGCCACATTGCCGTTGTAAGGATTCTTCTGGCAGCTGGGTGTGAACTGGATATTCAGGATGATGTGAGTATAACATGTTTGCAATATTTTCACTTCTGAGCAGAAAGCACATAGATCTGCTCACAATCATTGAGAACATTGGTGTTCACACTAAGTCTGAATTTTTTCTCATTTTTCTTTTTGTTTGGTTAGTCACATTGTCCTTTAAATGTGGTCAGTATCAAATATGACTCTTCACACAGTCCTCAAAAGAACGATAACAAAGACGGTACGCTGTTATACAGAAGTAAATATACAGGCCACTTAAGTCAGTGTTTACACATTCATTTGTAAGATGATGTGCCGTGGTCGCCAGTGAATTTGCGCACAGGCAATCAGGAGGACGAGAATGAGGGGAAAGAGAGCAAAACTATTAAATATTTACGATACGACCCTCGTGTTTTGCTTGTATAGAGCTGTCACCGTAATACTTATGAGTTCAGCACCTCACTGTCCCTTCACTGACTACCTAATTCTGATTTGACTGTTGAGACTGAGGTTGCACTGCAAAACATCAGAGCTGTATCTCATTTAGGACCACATATGAAAGTGGCACAAATCAGAATGAAAAAGATCAGACTCCATGTGGTTTGTGCTGTTCAAACAGAGTCACATATGTGACCCTGCAGCACAAAAGCAGTGTTAAGTCGCTGGGGTATATTTGTAGCAATAGCCAAAAATACATTGTATGGGTCAAAATTATTGATTGTTCTTTTATGCCAAAAATCATTAGGATATTAAGTAAAGATCATGTTCCATGAAGATATTTTGTACATTTCCTACCGTAAATATATCAAAACTTAATTTTTGATTAGTAATATGCATTGCTAAGAACTTCATTTGAACAACTTTAAAGGCAATTTTCTGGCGCCCTCAGATTCCAGATTTTCAAATAGTTGTATCTCTGCCAAATATTGTCCTATCCTAACAAACCATACATCAATGGAAAGCTTATTTATTCAGCAATTTCAAAAAATTGACCGTTATGACTGGTTTTGTGGTCCAGGGTCACATATGAGAAAAGGAGGCAACACTTTGGTAAAGGGACCAATTCTCACTATTAACTAGTTGCTTATTAGCATGCCTATTCTTAAAATATTGGCTGTTTATTAGTACTTATAATGAGCATGTTCTGCATCCCTAATCCTACTCAATACCTAAACTTAACAACTACCTTACTAACAATTAATAAGATGCAAATTAGTAGCTTATTGAGGCAAAAGTCATAGTTAGTGAGAATTGGACCTTAAATAAAGTGTGACCAGAACAATTGTCAACTAAAGTGTCAGAAATGTCTGTGTACATATAAAGAAATTATTCACAAAAAAAAAGTCAGTTTAGTCACCGAATTACTCACCCGCATGTCCTTCCAATCCCATATGACTTTATTCTGTGGAACACAAAAGGAGAAGTCTTGAAGTAACTCAAGACAAGGCATAAAACTACCATAACTCATGCATTATATGTCAAGTCAGAAGACGAATGAGGAACAGACCACAGCACAGGTCTTTTGAAACTGATACTTTTGGTATTTTGTTGTTCACCTTGTGTCTCGACCTTTAGGGCAGGTGATATTCCACAATGCAAACTCAAACGTGTTTCCATAAACCTTGTCTGTGTTGGGCAACCATGCCATTTTTGTTGTTTATTTTGTTTTCTACATTTCTAAAGTATCGTGATTTGACGGATGCCAGCATAGTCTTTTAGTGCTCTACAGCAAACTGAAAACAGAGAAATGTTGATCTTAAACAGTGGTTCCTGCACTGCTGTTCTGAATCTAGTGCAGCATGTTTTAACAGCATCATTTTTTTTTTCAACTTGAAATGGACCAAAATCATAAGTCTATAGGAAAGACTGGTTATTGTTTTATAATAGGAAATGTGAGCTCCCTTTGCACAATGGCAAAGGAGCCAGTGAGAGTAACACACCTCCCTCTTAAAGTGCTATAATACTTACTTCATAAGCATCACACTGTGCAGCCAGAATCACCACAGACTGACTGATGTTTCGGTTATATATATATATATATATATATTTTTTTTTTTTTTTTTTTTTTTTTTGCTATCAGGGTGACCAGACGGCGTTACACAGAGCGACTGTGGTGGGAAACGCTGATGTTATTTCAGCTCTAATTCAGGAAGGATGTGCACTAGATAGACAAGACAAGGTAAATATCTCTCATTCACTTCTGCTAGAATAAGAGTTATTATTGCAGGAATTGCAATGATCTGTTTACAGAGACTTTCACTGCTGATATGTAAATATGTTAAGGATAATGTACACTCATCTGGTTGTTACTGGAAAGTAAATTCTGATAGGACGATGACTTGAAGTGTACTGTACATTATTATTACACAGCTACTTGCCGAATAAATAAATAAATGCACATTAAATACTGATTTAAGTGAAAAAGTGTGGAGTAAAATGAGAGACCAGAACTATGAAGGAAATCAGTTGCCATTAACAATTATACAATCAATCATACAGTTAAGCACCTTATTTATATATAAACGTTTCTCTTTAATGTATGAGGAAAGTAATAAGTATATCAATAACTATAAACCAAATTGATCCAAAACCAAAATTTCATTTAAAAAATGTTACCCATTTAAATAAAAATAAAAATTAAATTTGTGTATAAAAATAATGAACAGCCATTGTTTTTTTATGTTTCCTTTATGTATCGCATTTGACATTACAAACGCAAAGTGGTTATATTTTCTATGTTTTTCTCAGGATGGGAACACGGCGTTACATGAGGCTGCGTGGCACGGCTTCAGTCAGTCTGTCAAACTGCTGGTGAAGGCCGGAGCCAACGTTCACGCTAAAAACAAGGTAAAAGCCACTGCCTAAAACACCCTCAACCTCAACATAAAATGATTTGCATGCTTGGCTGATTTTAATACAACTGTAAATATGTGCAAATACACAAATAATGCACACATAAAGTTATTTGGAGGCACTTTTGGCTTATGAACGTTACATAATTTATCTCCTGCAGCTTTGTTTTGTTGCAGTGGAGCATATGCAACTCCTTCAGTCCGGACTAGAATACAGCACAGCCTCAAGTGCCTAGCTATAATAAAGCAATCAGTGCATCATTCAAAAATAAATAATGTCAGTGTGATTATTGTTTTATTAATTCATGAAGCGGCATCCTTCCATCAAAAGTTCTAGCCCTCATATGCAAACTCAGTACTTGGTCTTCATGGGTGCTGTGCAGTCAACAGGTGTTTTACAGCTGTATTGACCAATCAGCATTCAGGAGGGCATCTGGATCTTTTGTGCAATGTGGAATAATTCTGTGAACGTTCTAGTTGAGCACAGAGCAGGAGATCAGCTCATGTAATCTCTCTCAGGCAGGAAACACGGCTCTTCATCTGGCGTGTCAGAACGGTCATGCTCAAAGCTCCAAAGTCCTGCTGCTGGGCGGCTCTCGTCCCGACAGTAAGAACAGCGTAAGTACCATCAAACTCTTCTTTCTGTCTATTTGATTCATACAGTCAAACCAAAAATTACTCAGAGACCAGATATCATTTTTGATATTTTTTTACTAGGGGGTGCAGGACACTATAGTTCATTTATGTAAGTGAGGATAGCAAAATAAAGTAAACTGTGACATATTATAACCAAAAATTCTTCATACAGAGGACGACCAGTAAAACTGATAAAAATTTGGGACCGAAAATTATTCAGACACTTTGACCTGACCATGTTTTGCTTAAAGGGGTGGTTCACAGTTTTTTTTCTAGGCTTGATTGTGTTTATGGGGTGCAGTCTAACATGTGTTAATGCTTCGTTTGTAAAAAAACGCATTATTTTTCACATAATTTATCTTTATTCTTCACCGCTCTGTCCCTTCTCTGAGAAACACGCTGATGATTTCCTGCTTTTATGAAGCCCCTCCCTCAGAAATAGGCGATGGACTCTGATTGGTTAGGCTCTCGTCCCGACAGTAAGAACAGCGTAAGTACCATCAAACTCTTCTTTCTGTCTATTTGATTCATACAGTCAAACCAAAAATTACTCAGAGACCAGATATCATTTTTGATATTTTTTTACTAGGGGGTGCAGGACACTATAGTTCATTTATGTAAGTGAGGATAGCAAAATAAAGTAAACTGTGACATATTATAACCAAAAATTCTTCATACAGAGGACGACCAGTAAAACTGATAAAAATTTGGGACCGAAAATTATTCAGACACTTTGACCTGACCATGTTTTGCTTAAAGGGGTGGTTCACAGTTTTTTTTCTAGGCTTGATTGTGTTTATGGGGTGCAGTCTAACATGTGTTAATGCTTCGTTTTTAAAAAAACGCATTATTTTTCACATAATTTATCTTTATTCTTCACCGCTCTGTCCCTTCTCTGAGAAACACGCTGATGATTTCCTTCTTTTATGAAGCCCCTCCCTCAGAAATAGGCGATGGGCTCTGATTGGTTAGCTAGCCCAGTGTGTTGTGATTGGCTCAACCGTCTCTAGTGCGTGTCTAACCGTCCCGCCCCTCACCTCAGCGGCATGTGCTTCGGTTGTATTAAACAGCGGCGGCGTTATCGAATCCATCGTTAGAACACAGAATCGTGATTCATATATTAATAGATTATTACGTGCACCCCTAGTTTTCTCTTCCTCTTCTCTAAAGCAGCGCAGCATGGCCTCGCCCCCTTTGCTGCGTGTTCCCGAGGGTGGGGTTTATCTGGGTTTGTGATGTCAGTGTTAATGCTTCGTTTGTAAAAAAACGCATTATTTTTCACATAATTTATCTTTATTCTTCACCGCTCTGTCCCTTCTCTGAGAAACACGCTGATGATTTCCTGCTTTTATGAAGCCCCTCCCTCAGAAATAGGCGATGGACTCTGATTGGTTAGCTAGCCCAGTGTGTTGTGATTGGCTAAACCGTCTCTAGTGCGTCTAACCGTCCCGCCCCTCACCTCAGCGGCATGTGCTCCAGTTGTATTAAACAGCGGCGGCGTTATCGAATCCATCGTTAGAAGACAGAATCCCGATTCATATATGAACAGATTTTTACGTGCACCCCTAGTTTTCTCTTCCTCTTCTCTAAAGCAGCGCAGCATAGCCTCGCCCCCTTTGCTGCGTGTTCCCGAGGGCGGGGTTTATCTGGGTTTGTGATGTCACAAACCCGGGAAGTAACTTGTTGTAGTCCCTACCAGCCGTCCTTGTAGGCATTACACTGGCAGAATTTTAAAAGACGATATCTCTGTTTGCATTGAACTTTCAGCTTCGTAACTTTGCAGATATTGTTGATGCTCAAACAGCAACAAACATACACACTAACTAACATAAAAAAGTGAAATCGCAATCAACCACCCCTTTAAGTGTTTTTCTTTAATTGCCGTTTGAACTTTTTACACCACAGTCTGAACAAAATTAAGCATTGCTTGGTGATTGGTTGACCTAAATTGGTATTATCTAATTATGTACTTAAATTGAACAGCTGACAGCTATTCAACCGAATTCATTTTATAAAACAGATAGTTCCGGTCCTTGATTCTGATTGGCTGAGCTGCGTTCGAAGCTGTTGTAAATGACGCTACAAAGTAACACACACCTTTGTTTACTTCTGTGTGTTTCTCGGGAACCACTTTGTTGGAACCACAACTGTTTCTGAGGAGCTACATTGTTTGGTGGAAGAATACGGTTTTTATTAATATCATTACACTTTATTTGCTCTGTTTTATTTCATGAAACCTTACTGCGTATATGGAATAACCGTTTTATAAAAGCAGTAACCCCCGTGAAGCCGTGGTTTACAGGGAATTTATAACAGCTAAGGGGGTTTTAGGCACGCCGCGACAACGCCCCTTAGCTGTTCTAAATTCACTGTAAACCACGGCTTCACGGGGCTTATTGCTTTAACATACCTTTCTATCAAAGTTATGTGACATTATCAAGTTCTTGTCATGTTTTATTACCATTTTCTAAACTATAGCAAATACGCTGTGATAATGTGAGACATGTCGAAGGTGTTCGGATCAATTTTGGTTTGACTGTATGTCTCTCTCTTTTCTTTCTCTGTGTGTTTGTCATTTAAAAAAAACATGAAACAAATGTGCTCTTTGAATAAAATGACGTTGACTTGTTTGTTTAGGTAGGTGACACGTGTCTGCATGTGTCTGCTCGATATAACCACGTGAGTGTGATCCGAGCGCTCCTGAGTGCCATCTGCTCAGTGACTGAAAGAAATCATGTAAGGACTTGAGATATTGTTAAAACTGTAATTATGTCCATCCTGGAGGTGTTTCTGATTCATCCCTAATTCTGAATCGATGCTCAGGCAGGAGACACAGCTTTACATATCGCAGCTGCTCTGAATCACAGGAAGACTGTGCGCATGTTACTGGAGGCTGGGGCCGACAGCCGCGTCAACAACAACGTGAGCACCTTCAGAAATATTGCATGAGCTTAGATACACTATATTGCCAAAAGTATTGCGACATCCCCTTCTAATGAACAGGTTTGACTGCTTTAGTCATTTCCATGAGTACAGATCTTAATGTTCAAGCATATAATGTGTGCTTCTAATTTTATAGCAACAGTTTGGACAGGACCCTTTTCTATTCTAACATAACAATGCCTCTGTGTATAAGACAAGGTTCAAAAAGAAATGATTGACCAGAAACCTCTGGTGTGACTTTAAATGCAGACCTTGAGCCAAAAACTCCTCACCAGACACCAGTGACCTGTACATATGGCTACAGTCATTTTAGACGCTTCCAAAACTGTTGCAACAGAGATGGAAATACAGTTGTTGAATGCATGAATTATGTTTCCAGCTTTGTTGCCACAGTTTTGGAAGTGCCTGTTCTAAATAAGGGGGTGTGTCCCGATACTTTCGTCCATATAGTGTATGATGCATTGATACAGTTTCACAAAATGTCTCTGAGTTTAATTCATAATGCAACAGAACGTTGCATTCTTAGCTAAATCTTCCTGGGCAAGTTAGTTAAATTGTCTGGATGTTTATAGCTGCTATTGGCATGTAGCAGAAATGACCCATTTATCTGTGTGAGTATGCTCTTGACTCTTCTGTGTGTGTATGTTATTGGGTGAAGACGGGAGAGACGGCCCTCGATCAGGCTCGTGAAAATGATAATCCTGAAGTGGCGCTGCTGCTCACCAAAGCTCCACAGGTAGGAAAACACACACGCTTACGAGCCATTCACAGGAAGAGGTCTTTCTTTTAGATTTTTATTATATGCTTAACAACAAAAACATGTAAATTGTACCAACTGACCAAATATCAGATTTGGAACCGCACATTTGAAAATGACTCAAATCACATGCAAAAAATTTTAAATAATAAATTGATCTTAAATGTGGTGTTTCTGTCTACATACATGCTGCAAAAAAGATGTTCCAGATGAACAAAAGGGATAGTTTATCCAAATTGAAAACTGTGATCATTTACTAATTTTTGTCATTCCAAATCTGTATGGCTTTCTCCTCCAGGACACCAAAAAAATAAAAGGTTTGGAAATCATAAGGTTGGGTAAATGTTGACTGAATTTTCAATTTGCATGCACTATCCCATTAACATGCGCCAAATTACATTCTTCAGCTTTAAATTTAGCTGAGTGAAGAATCAAGACAAGCAACATGTGACTTAATGTCTGTAGAGCTTCACTCGAGGACGCACTGTGAGGAAGAGGAGGGACAAGATGAAGACTGCGGGTCGAGCGCAGTCAGTCCCACGTGAGGAGATGCTGCCGAGAAAGGTAAAGGAGCAAACCTACTCTCCTTCTCTCTCTCTCAGACACAATCAGAACCGGATGAGCATCTGTACGAGAGGCAGATGAAGTTCAAACATGCTGTGGCTAAATGTTATGTAAGCAATTATTAATGGCAGGCGGGTTAATTATTGAACATTCATACTCCCACAGTAATATGACACATCAGATGTGAAATAACATTTTCAGTAATTCAAATTCTGATTGTACCGTAGTCACTCCGTCTATCTCAAGACACTTTTAGGCTTTCATTCTTCAAGTCTTGTGTGTAGAACTACTTTATGTCTCGCAATTGCGAGTTTATATCACGCACTTCTGACTTTATTTCTTAAAAATAAATTCAAATATATAAATAAAAAGTCAGAATTGTGAGATAAAAAGTCGCAATTACCTCTTTTATTTTTTATTCAGTGGCGGAAACGGGCTTCCATACAAATGTCTGAGTTGTACACATTCCTGCATTTTGTGGATTTAATAAAGCTGACAATAAATAAAAATACTACTTGATAAAAAAAAAAAAGTATGTTATAGATCTTATGAACAATTCATCCATGTATGCAATTCTTTTTTATAATTTTGTTTAACCTTATAATCTTTAATCAAAATGGTGAAAACATCAGACGTCTCACTCACATCTCAACATCCAGTCATTTCTTTTTCAATAAGGCATTACTCTCGGATGTACAGTATGTAAGAAAACGTGTGGCTAACAATAAACGAGTAGTACTCTGTTCTGCATAACACATTTCATCCTGCTTTTATCCACTCGCTCCATAGATTCTGCTGGTCTTTGTCAATAATGTGACTTCACTCTTGTGTTTGTGCAGGACAGTGTATCTCCTGCGAATGACACTCATGGCAGTGACGGTTCTCTCCGCCGGAATGACACAGAGGCACGTGCAATCAGAAACAGTGAGAAGAAAGTCAAAGAGAGGGTTCGTCATGCATGTATTTTCTAGTTTAGGGTGCGAGCTGGGTATAATATGGGAATTCTATTATATGCTGAGTGCAGAGTCCTGGGTTAATATTGCAGTAGTGATGGGAATTTGCATGTGAATAAACTCCTAACCAGTCCGAGAGCTCTTATGGATTGTGTGCTGTGTGTTTTTTGCAGCTGTCGCCATCAGATGCCCTCATTCGAAGACAAAGTAAACACAGTGATCAGAAGAAGAAGAGTAAAACGGAGAGTTCATCAGCTCCTCCTTCTCCTCCTCATAACTACAAAGCATTCCAGCTCTATACTCTCTACAGAGGCAAAGACGGCAAGATCATGCAGGCGAGAAACCCGTTTCACCTTCAGATTAAACTGATTTTGAATAGAATGCTAATTGAGAAATAAATACATTTCAAAGGTTAAAAATTACAGAAAAAAATTAAAAGTAATTTGATAAATAGAACCTATTAGAATGGTTTTGAGACTTTAGTCTTTGCAACTTCAGGGATCTTTCTATTCACAATCAGCTTGTAACACTCCTAAGAGAAAAGAAAACTTGAAATCGCATCATATGACCCCTTTAAATGTATTATTGACTTATTATTGATGTATATGTGTTATTTCCATTAAAGGCCCCATTGAATGGCTGCAGGTGTGAACCTCTCATTAACAAACTGGAGAATCAGCTCGTGGCCACTAAAGAGGAGATGCAGTCAGAGATTCACACTGTACAGGAGCTCATGAACAGCAAGATGGGCCAAATGGAGCGCAAGAACAAACATCAGGTGCATACAGCCTAGACTTCACCAGCCCTGCCAGCATAAGTGTCTGAGCTTCATCTGAATGACTATTGTGTGTTTGCGATTTCAGATCAGAGCTCTAGATAAGATCACTTTAGAGAGAGTGTCTGCTGAGAGGATTGAATGTTTACATCGCATCGACAAGCGAGCCATACAAGAACGCTTGGAAGGAGAAAAAAGACAGGTAATATTCACCAATAAATATTCATGCAGATAATCGTATTGGCATAAACCCTATTTTACATGCATGAGAAACAGATTGCTTTTTTTCTCTAGATGTAAAAGGAATAATATGTGACCCTGCAGCACAAAAGCAGTGTTAAGTCTCTGGGGTATATTTGTAGCAATAGCCAACAATACATTGTATGGGTCAAAATTATAGATTTTTCTTTTATGCCAAAAATCATTAGGATATTAAGTAAAGATCATGTTCCATGAAGATATTTTGTACATTTCCTACCGTAAATATATCAAAACGTAATTTTTGATTAGTAATATGCATTGCTAAGAACTTCATTTGAACGACTTTAAAGATGATTTTCTCAAAATTTAGAGTTTTTTGCGCCCTCAGATTCCAGATTTTCAAATAGTTGTATCTCGACCAAATATTGTCCTCTCCTAACAAACCATACATCAATGGAAAGATTATTTATTCAGCTTTCAGATGGTGTATAAATCTTTGTCACATATCTGGTTTTTAGTGGGCATGGGCTAATCTTTGGATTTCTGTAAGCAGGCGTCAGTGGTCAACGATCTCAAGAGCTGGTGCCTTTCGAAAATCCAAAGTTTGGAGACGCGTCTCTCTGGTGATCGCTGCAACACAAAGTTAAGGCGCTCCTCGTCCCTCACCGACACGCTTTCAGATTGTAAACCCCGTTCCCACACAGCTGTACCGGACACATCTGGTGCCGAAGCCTGCTCCTCTCCATCAACAAACCAACCAGAGGCCAAAGATGGACGAGAGGCTGTAGCAGCGAGCGCGAGTCCTGAGGATGCATCGGCTGGTTACTATGTGATTGAGGCGGACCGCGTCTCACTGGGTATGACGCTCGTGACATGAACAGCCACACACACATTCAGCTGTGTTTCTTTCTCCTACACACACACACACACACACACACACACACACACACACACACACACACAGATGTTCTGGCTCCTCTCACATACAGACAGCACTGCATGCAGCATTAATGGTTTTCCTGTGTTTGTTCTCATTTAGATAAAGGCTTATGTAAGTGTTACATAAAATATGTGACCCTGGAGCACAAAAGCAGTGTTAAGTCGCTGGGGTATATTTGTAGCAATAGCCAAAAATACATTGTATTGGTCAAAATTATCTCTCTTTTTTTATATTTTGTATATAAAATATTTTTGTAATATTTTGTAAATTTCCTACTGTAAATATATCAAAACTTAATGTTTGATTAGTAATATGCATCGCTAAGAACTTCATTTGAACAACTTTAAAGATGATTTTCTCAATATTTCGATTTTTTTGCACCCTCAGATTCCAGATTTTCATATAGTTGTATCTCAGCCAAATATTGTCCTATCCTAACAAACCATACATCAAAGCTTATTTATTCAGCTTTCAGATGATGTATAAATCTCAATTTCGAAAAATTGACCTTTATGACTGGTTTTGTGCTCCAGGGTCACAAATGTGTTATGTACGGATATTAGAAGTAAAATATACAAAACGCAATGTATCATATAGTTGTATCTCAGCCAAATATTGTCCTATTATCCTAACAAACCATACATCAAAGCTTATTTATTCAGCTTTCAGATGATGTATAAATCTCAATTTCGAAAAATTGACCTTTATGACTGGTTTTGTGGTCCAGGGTCACAAATGTGTTATGTACGGATATTAGAAGTAAAATATACAAAACGCAACATCTTTATGCACATATGGAGGGATATAGCAGACAAAATCCTTTATTTCATGAATAAGAATATTTTCATGCCATTTTTATTGTACACGTGTATATATAACAAACTGTTGCAAATGTTGAAATGAAATTTGGGCATTAACAAATGAATACGGAACAAAATATAGTTTAACTAATTTAGCAGAATTAATTTAATTTAAAGCACACACACATCATACTGTGTACATTTTTTAGATTTTTGAAGGCACATTAGCTTTTTGTTCGGAGAAAAAAAAAGAAAAGAAAAAAAAACAGCAGACGGGCTTATTGAAAATGCTAATTCATGCTCTGCCACCAGAGCCGCTGAGAAACAGAATAATTCTTTATACTTTTGGCGCATTCCTTTCCTTTATTTCTTACAAATATTTTAAAGGCTGAAATGTGAGGTTTGTCACTTTACAAAACTCTTTCTATTTGTGAAAACCTGTTTTTGAACTGCAAATCGTGTTTTCATGTTTTTTGCAGTCATTTTATGGTTTAATATGATACCATAGATATTGCCCTACCCCGCTCATACAGCATTTATTTTATGCAGGTATATATATATATTAACTTAAATGATTTTAGCAAATGGCTGCAATATAACAAAGAGTTAAAAATTTAAGGGGGTGTGAATACTTTCCGTGCCCACTGTATATATATATATATATATATATATATATATATAATTTATATAGCCTACTTTATGTTGGATATTTATATTATGCAATGTTATATGCAATCCAGGCTGGTGGTTTTTAATAGTACAATAACATCTGATTTAAAGTGAAAAACTCAAATGTGTGTGTGTGTGTAATTTACCACAGTTTAAAGTGCTGGAAAAGCTTGAAAGTGCTTGAATTTGAATTTGGAAAAAGTGTAAGAACCCAAAACATCAATGCAGGGGTCTAGAGATATGTTTTTAGCATCTAGACATTCAGTGAATGATTCCTCTCCAAGCTCTTCTTCAAAAATAGGTTGAAGTCATTTTTTCACCATTAGTTAAGTAAAGGATCATTCAGGACTAGGTGTTTTAATGCATTTCGCAGAGCTAAAGAACATCCAGATGCACAGCGGCTTGTAAGATCTAGCATTCTGACCACTTTGAAGGAGTAGTTCACCCAAAAATGAACATTTGCTGAACATTTACTCACCCTCAGGCCATTCAAGATGAGTTTGTTTCTTCATCAGATTTGGAGAAATGTAGCATTGCATCACTTGCTTAGCAATGGATGTGGATGGGTGCCGTCAGAATAAGAGTCCAAACAGCTGATAAAAACATCACTATAATCCACAGCACTCCAGTCCATCAGTTAATATCTTGTGTAGTGAAGGCTACATGTTTTAAGAAACAAATACATCATTAAGGCATGTTTGCCTTCAAACCATTGCTTTCGGCTAAAATACGAGTGTATAATCCATAATAATGATTCCTCCAATAAAGAAATCCATCATGCCCTGATGTTCTCTCACATCAAAATCCAGTTTTGGATGGTTTTGTCTTCTAAAGGGTGTTTAATCTGTGCGTATGTCTCTCCTGATTCAGACAAGAACACTTTTTCTCTAGAGAAAGAAATATAGATAGAGGACTCGTATTTTAGCCAAAAGCAATGGTTTAAGCGTCTTCCTGATGGATGTGTTTAGTTGTGTGGATTATTGTGATGTTTTCATCAGCTGTTTGGACTCTCATTCTGACGGCACCCATTCACTGCAGAGCATCCATTGCTGAGACACTGATGCAATGCTGAATTACTCCAAATTAACTATAACATTTGTTTGAATTATTTAGAGAGCGTTTGTGAGAAAGTTTGTGTGTGCAGCATTGTTGCAATTAAGTAGCAAAGCTTATTTCATTTATAATAAGTCCATGGTATTAAGATTATTGTTATTTACCAATTGCATCTGGTGCTTGTGTCAATGTGCATGCTGCAAACCTTCTGAAGCTGTTCCGTCTTTTCAGATAAGCAGTCAGCGCAGAATCAATCTGCACCCCAGTCTCCTTGTATAGTCCGACCTAAGCAACGATCCCGGGCCTGTAGTGACCCTCACCGAGCGCAAGATGAGCCTCAGGAGCTGAGACCTGTCCCCAATCAGTGCTGCGAGCACAGGAACCTTAAAAGACGCACCCAACAAAGAGCAAAGACCAAACACAACGCTCAAACCATGACGAGTTTGACGCACACTGCCGAGGCTTCCTTCGCCCAGGAGCGGGAAAACATGCACGCGCTGGAGGTTACGCAGTACTTTTTCGAGGCAGTGACTCTGCAGATGGAGCGCTGGTATGAACGCAAGATTGAAGAAGCACGCTGGCAGGCCAACCAGAGAGCCCAGGCCGACAGAGCCGCTCTGCTGGACAGAATAAGCTACCTTGAGGATGAACTCCGACTGCTGAGGACTAACAAGCAGGAGCAGAGCTAGTACAGAAGGTAACACTGGTGTAGCAGACACTGTAACGTCCGGATGGATGAGTGAAGGTCAACAGAGCAGCTAACACATGAAGATAACACTGCAGCAGCAAGCGTCAGGAGAAGTAGCACCTAAACAGATTTAGAGCCGAAACATTCTCTTTGCAAGTACTTTAACTCAAACACTTCAAGCTACACAAGTTTAATTTCCTTTGCCATCACACAATTCATAATGGAGGGCAGTCGCATTCTTAGCACTGTTAGCAGAAACTGTCTGCTGAGGCTTGTTGCCGCCAGAGTAACACAAGAATGCACTTCATGTACATGCTGTCAGAGCCCTGTTCACAAATTTGTGTCTGCGTTTGCGTGCTTGCGTTGGGTTACCGTCACTGCCAAAGATCCGTTCAAGCTTAAGATAAGTCTGTTTTATTGTAAAAGGGCAAAAACTTAACATATACTGTATAATTTAAATGTGGATTCTTAATTAAGTATAAGGCATGAACACATTTATTCCAGTACTAGTACTCAAATTAGCTGAAAGTGTCTACATTTTGCCACTACTTTGGAGGTTTGCCAGATCATATAAAACCAGTGAAGACTGACAAATAAAAGTAACACAATCCATGATATAAGCAAGTATTATGTCTTTGTATATGGTCTTTATTGCACAAAATGAAATGTCTTAACCTGTGATGTTTCATTGAGGATTTTGATGTAGTTCGTAGGGAACGTACAAGAACACACGATGAAATAAGTGTTTGTAACAGATTTGCATGTGTCAATGTTTCATTTGGTAGGCAAGTCATCTAATTTAACAGTTTTTAATAATTACTTTAAAAACATTCAGAATGCATGGGCAGGAAAAAACTCGGTCCCTTTCTATGTTTTGAGGCTGGTGTTGTGTAGAGATGAAAATCACTGAACTCTAGCTGTGATCTGGTATGAAAGGCCCACTTTTCACCATCCAATCAAACACGAATGTCATTTTATGTTGATTTTTAAAGGGGTCATATGACATTGTTAAAAAGAACATTATTTGGTTTAATGAAATGTTTATGTTACAGATCTTCTTTATGCACCAAGAGCTTGTAACACTCCAAAGAGAAAGGAAAACTTGAAATCACATCATATGACCCCTTTAAGATTTAAGATGCTGGTTATTCTTTCAGCGCTGTGAGCTTGAACAATACTAGAGTGAGAATAAAAGTTATGCCTTCTTTCTTTGCGTGAACATTTGGGCAGCGTTATGCAAATCTTCCCACATAGTGAGGTAGATATGTGGGGCGTGTTAGAACGAGCCGTTTTAGGGGGGTGTGGCTGACTGAACTTTTATCAAGAATATCTCTTTGGTTTTGAGACTTTAGTCTTTGCAACTTCAGGGATCTTATCTATTCACGAACAGCTTGTAACACTCCTAAGAGAAAGGAAAATTGGAAATCGCATCATATGACCCCTTTAAGATTTAAGATGCTGGTTATTCTTTCAGCGCTGTGAGCTTGAACGACACTTAACCTCACACTGCTCCATGAAGACTGATCTATAATGTGTAGATTGTTTTAAGTATTGTTGAAATGATCAAAATGTAAAATAATCATGGTTTCAAACTGACGTCTTTGCCAGTGACTTTTGATGTTGAACTATGAAATCAAATAGTTTTTGACTGTCTTGACAAATGTTAACAACTAATATGTAATGACCATGTTTAGTTTTTTTATATACATGTACAAATACTAGAATAATTGTTTACAGCTGCTTCAAAGGGAACATTATTATTTACTCTATCATACAGCTGTGTGATCTGTCACAAATTAATGTTTAATAAACTACATCTGTGTGATTTTGTGAAGAAGAGAAAAAAAAAGAATCCGTCTAGTGTCTCTGGCTGGAAACAGAATTATTTGATTTGATCAGCCATAAAGGACTGTTTTTGTCTATATATACATGTACAAATACTAGAATAATTGTTTACAGCTGCTTCAAAGGGAACATTATTATTTACTCTATCATACAGCTGTGTGATCTGTCACAAATTAATGTTTAATAAACTACATCTGTGTGATTTTGTGAAGAAGAGAAAAAAAAAAGAATCCGTCTAGTGTCTCTGGCTGGAAACAGAATTATTTGATTTGATCAGCCATAAAGGACTGTTTTTGTCTATATATATATGCACTTCACGTATCATCACAACAGTGAAAGTTGTATTGTTTCATATATAAACTGCTTCACTGTTGTAGTTTGATAACATATTGCATATTTAGCTGAGAGTGCACGATTAAGTCCATTACTTGCCTTTTGAGTACTTATACAAAAAAAACAATGGCCAACATTTAGCAGATTTTCCATTAACAAATGCAGTTCTATACTGAGATCTCTCTCCTTGTGTGGTGATGCTTCACTGTAGGCAGGGGCGTCATTTAGCAGATTTTCCATTAACAAATGCAGTTCTATACTGAGATCTCTCTCCTTGTGTGGTGATGCTTCACTGTAGGGATGCTGTGCTCTGCTTCTGGCAGACTGTAATGTCCTCGAGGCATCTCAGTTCGTCAGGTTGTTTGGGGGACATGGCCAGTTTGCACAGATTTACAGTTGTTCCACATTTTTCTGCAGGTCGTAATGATGGATTTTACAAGCACAGCTTTGAGGTGCAAGACACTTCTTATCATGCCCTGACAGGCATTTGCATGGTTTCGGATCGGTGGGGAACACTATTGGTGTTCATAATGTAGCGTTTGCTAAATAATGCAGAAACTAAATGCAGATGTCAGCCAGCCACTGGAGTATTTGTTGTGACGTTATGTGATATTTCAGCTACACACCACATAATTATGACTCAGAGAAGTGAATGTATTTGGCTTTTATTAATATTTGGCAAAGTGAAAGAATGAGCACTCAAATATTATACATTTATACACACAATGAAATGCCAGATATCCTTTCACATTATAGTGTACATTTTTTTTATTAAAGGGACAGTTCACCCAAAAATGATAATTGTCATCAGTTACTCACACTCATGTCGTTCCAAACCCACAAGACTTTTGCTCATCTTCAAAAACGCAAATGAAGATCGCCTATTTGAATGAAACCGGAGATTTCTGTCCCTCAGTCACCCATAACACTGACACATTAAAACATTAATACAGACAGACAACGATTTCTGAAGACACACAATGCCTTTATACTTCGCTATGAACGGTTTTAATTTAGGCTTTTATTTACATATAAAGATTGATCAACAAACATACATACAGTGCAACAAATATGGTAAACGAAAGCTCATACTTTTTCATTGATGCATGAGAACCAATGTGGTTCGAGATATTATTTTTTGTGTTTACCATATTTCATGCCCTCTATATGCGAGTTCCCTGTTGAAAAAAACAGCATATGCTGGTTAGGTATGTTTTGACGCTGGGATGCTGGTTTAAGCTGGACCTTTGCTGGTTTAAGCTGGACCTTTGCTGGTTTAAGCTGGACCTTTGCTGGTTTATGCTGGTCCTTTGCTGGTTTAAGCTGGTCCTTTGCTGGTTTATGCTGGTTTAAGCTGGTCCTTTGCTGGTTTATGCTGGTTTAAGCTGGTCTTTTGCTGGTTTATGCTGGTCCTTTGCTGGTTTAGCTGGTCCTTTGCTGGTTTATGCTGGTCCTTTGCTGGTTTATGCTGGTCCTTTTGCTGGTCCTTTGCTGGTTTATACCATACTTTGTCGTTTTATACTTGTTAAAGAGTGAATGTTTTGGATGCATGTACTTGTAATACGGGGGGGAGGGAAAGGAGATTATTACAAACATCTTGTACTTCGATGAATCAAAAGTCAGATGAGTGAAAGTCTTGTGAGTCTGGAATGACATGAGGGTGAGTAACTGATGACAGAATTTTAATTTCTGTCTGAACGATCCTTTTAATAAATGGTGAACATTTCAGTTCGATTATCAGATAAACTCTGAATTGGACGCCAGCGAGATCTGTCGACGGTCTGGCATCCAGCCAACGCAAGAGATGTTCTCAAATCCTCCAGATGATTGTGCGCTTGAGTGATCATCATGCGAATCACATCCTGAGGGGGAACATCATTCATTTTATATGAGAGCTGGCAATTTCCAACGACATCGCAACAGTGACTGTTAGCAAAATGACAAACTCTATGCAACTGAGAAGCAAAGCAATGCAGTGACTACCAAAAGGAGCAGAGAAAGTGTGATTTACTGCCTAATAAAGCTGGATACTGTGGCAGACTAAAATCAGCTAGCTACTAGAAACCAACAGCTCAGAGACTCACTGACCTCCAACAAAGATCTACCGTTTATTGTCAATCCCTTAGCGATGTATGAAGCACAGCTCACAACAGTCACTTTTATTCCAAGCTGCTTTCTGCAGGTGAAAAATGCCCCAAAATTGCGTAACTCGCATGCCGATTCCTATTGAAATGACTGGATTTTGCCAGCAAAAACTCAAATGTGACCACACTTTTAAGCTGAGTTCACTGTTCAATTTCTCTGGAATTAAAATTTGAGGTCATTTTTTTCTTCTTCATGCACTTCTGTAAATGTACACATCTTTGGAGTGCTGGGTTTTGAGATGAGGGCATATCTATACAGTTCACCAAAAAACTAATATTTGATGAAAGTGTACTCATCCTCAGGCCACCCAAAATGTAGATACATTTGTTTCTTCATCAGATTTGGAGAAATGTAGCATTCCATCACTTGTTCAACAATGGATCCTCTGCAGTGAATGGGTGCCGTCAGAATGAGAGTCCAAACAGCTGATAAAAACATCACAATAATCCACACCACTCAAGTCCATCAGTTAACATCTGGAGAAGACAAAAGCTGTGTGTTTGTAAGAAACAAATCCATCAAGGAGTTTTTAACCTTAAACCATTGCTTAAGACTAAAATACAAAGGCCATACTGTGTGATGTTTTTATCAGCTGTTTGGTCTCTCATTCTGACGGCACCCATTCACTGCAGAGCAGGGGCAGACTTAGTGATTTGGGGGCCCTAAGCAAATTTTAGGCATGGGGCCCCAACACAATAACTATGTGCTCTTTTACGCCTAACCCTTATTTTGCTCTCTCTCTCTCATAATTTATGGTTTATTTACCCCTTCAGAACTTAAGTAAATAATCAGTCGACCTGATGCTGTTCTAAAGCCATATTTGTCACACTACGGTGCACTCAGAACACTCACGAAGATGAAGGTAAAATAATCTTTAATTATCCACACAGAAGGTAAATCCAGAAGAGGAAGGCTTACCACACGTGAAAACATAGACGAGATCTTACAAACTAAGGCAGAACAGACAGGAACTTAAGTACACAAATTAAGATAATAAACTAGACACAGGTGAACAGAATGAACTAATCAGACACGAGGGAAAACTAGATCAAAACAGGGAAACAAGAGGCAAGACAACAACTAAAAATCCATGATGGTGACAATGTTAGGCTACCTTTTTTTTCGGATCACAAAAGAAAAAAAAATTTGCTTGCACTTGTCCATTTAAAGGGGTCATATGATGCGATTTCAAGTTTCCCTTTCTCTTTGGAGTGTTACAAGCTCTTGGTGCATAAAGAAGATCTGTAAAGTTGCAAAGACTAAAGTCTCAAATCCAAAGAGATATTCTTTATAAAAGTTAAGAGTCAGACACGCCCTCCTAAAACGTCTCGTTCTAACATGCCCCCACATACCTACGTCACGATGTGGGAAGATTTGCATTTAGCCGCCCAAATGTTCACGCAAAGAATGAAGGCATAACTTTTATTCTCGCTGTAGTATTGTTGCTGCCGCCGCCAT